TATGTCTATGACACCTGCCTTGAACAATTAAACTATTTACACAGATAGAGCAGTGCAAGGGATTGACCAATATTCTAAGAAGATATCACTAAGACCGACATGATGACTACGTCCCTTTGTAAAAACTTTAACAATCAAAAGGCTTTAACTGTTGGATCATAAACGAGTGGGGTAAAAACAACGCCATCTATAGACGGGTGGAAGTGTTATGTTTGGCTTATTTGATTGAGGCTCACACAAGGGCGGATTCGAGGGAGGCCTCCCCACCCATAAAAAAGGGCTTTTTAAAAATGAGACAAAGGTAATTTTTGGTCCATTTCATTGCCCTTCTTCCCGAATGCGCGTAAGAGGCTTCGCCTCTCCAAGAGGTCATAAAAGGTTACCTTAAAAAAGGTTTTGTCCGAGTCCCCCGAGAAAAGTTACACCTCACCAAAGGAAAAAAAGTTATGGATTCATCCTGGGGCACACAGTGGTTTGACGGGACACTACAGTACCGATACATTACTTGTAACTTAAATTAAAAGTACATGTAAGTTCACATTTCTTTTATTGGGCCCAGTCTGGAAACCCAGGTTGCTTATTAAGCTCTTAGTTAGAATTCACTAATTGACTGTGTTATAAAATTCATCAGCGCGCCCTCTATAGAGAAACAAATACAATACATGTACTGTAGCGGCAGCTTTCATCGCCGTGACGAAAACTTTTCTGTGACAAACTCATTTCAAGGACACCTTTTTCAAACTTGCCAAAGAAACCAGGAAAAAATATACACGCGCAACATCTATTATGCCGCTGAATATCAATACAGTCACACTTTCTTCCATTGCGATGAACAATATCTGATAAAGTAGACATGTAGAGTCAAATCAGAACCTGGGCTGTTTTCAGACACAAATTAACATGCCTGTCAGGTTCCTTCAATCCAACACAATGATATTGTACTGAATGACAATGCTTGGAAATGCTAACCAGACTATGTGGGCAGTGTTTGTGCTAATTGCTCAGCGAGACAATAAAAAAGACCAGGTATAAATAATGGCATAAACCGTTCGTTTTAAGATCAAAATAATGGAGCGTTTTGTCACATTCGCCTCGGTTCCACTTTGGTCTTAACTTATGATGACTTTTCTATCCAAGCACTTTCAACCATTAAGTGTGATTTTTTTCCGCGGAATTTCCTTGGAGCTGCGTGTTGTTAGAGGCAACTTCCGGGTCTTTGTGTGGGCATGGGTTGTAGCTCTATGGTGTGGGTAACTTGAACCGGACCGCAGACGCTGGAGGATCTTGCCCGTATGCCGCGGGCGAGTCATAGCAGGAATACCCGCAAAAACTCAAAAAAACCCGGATACGTCAGGGCTTATTAACGCATGTAGAAAACAGACTTTCAACTCAACCTGCAAGAAATAATAAAATTAAGACTGCCTACGATTTGCTTTCTTTTATTTCAATTTTCAGCAACACCAAAGTAGGAGGCGAGTGTTCTAAGTTTGTCTATTGAGAAAACTTAAAGACAATACCGGCTTGCATAGAGCAACCTACTTCACAGACATTTATGAAGCTAGCGGTGTTGCGTTCATCTGACAACAGGGAGACGTGTGTGAAGCAAGCATCTGCCGAGCCCGTCCAAGCAATGACACTCACGTAGTTCATAATTAATCCCGTGTTCATCGTATCCTGATGAAAAGCGTCCAGCGGGAACAGCAGTGTATATCGGGGGTGGGGCCCGCTTCGCATCCACCGTTGTCTCGCTGAACTCGCTCGCTTACTAGAAACGGGCTTCAAAATCGAAACATTTCCATTGTGCGTTTATTCCTAGGCTACTCACGGCGGCATCTCAACAGACAAATATCGACATTGACAATTCCTCGTCGTCAAGGACCAGCTGGAAATGATGCGCTCTTTTTTGTCTCGTCCTTGTCATTTTGTGTCTACTTACAACATTAGATCATTGTTAATTATGACAGTGTTGTGGTCACTTTTTGAACTTCGGCAGCTGAACTACACGCTTTGTGTGCCAGAGAGTATTTGCGACAGCAAACGTATCTTTAGGTTCACTTATTATGCCTCTTTGACATGTTTCAAACTCAATAAATTTAATTTAATTTTTCAGAGTTTACTCTTATTAAATGTTCAGGGCAAATTGACCATCAACAACTACGCCGGAAGACGACAATAAGACTAGAATCGAAACCAGAAAAGGGCACATTGTTGACGGGGAGAGAACACAAAGACGATTGAATGGTGTTTAAACTCGCATTTCATGTTCCAGGAAGAAAGGAAAAGGATCACACAAGACATTCTCATCATGTTACCACAAAATGTAAAATCAGTTAACCAGAAGACAGAGTAATCCATCAACAATTTCCTTTGTAACAAGGTAATGCAGGATTTTTGCTAATCGCACTGTTTGTTTAAATGAAGCACAAAGAAAGTAAAGCAAGTAATAGCATTTCAAAAATGAAAACAAACAAAAAAAGAAATACTCAAAGCAACGTTGAGTTCAATATCGGATATAGTTGGCTTTAGTCGAGTCCGACAATGTGTCTCTAGTTCATTTGGTGTTCAAACTGGACTCGTAGGCAACCTTTTGTTGTGTGCTCCGTGATTGATTGTCTATACTTTCAACGACTTCTCGATAACTCCCCGAAGATTTGCCTGACTGATCGCCCGCAAGATAAACAAAAACTCATACAAATGTACGAATAATGTCTGCTGTATTTTACTCATACTGAAGAAAAGCTTGCAAGTTCCATGCTTAATGGAGACTACAATCAGTGTTTTTGTTCATACTGTAATGCTGTACTCGGTGTGGTAAAGTTTAACCAAAAAAATGATCACAAATTTTTGTTTGCATTTATAAATAAAGGAAGAAAAACTTATCAGTGTTTGCCAAACATGCACTTGAGAACGAGATATAAGGGCGCAAGTGTTTGTGTTGGTTGTTGTGACACGCCGAGTTATGGGGGACGCACCTGCCCGGGGGAAGGCGAAGGCCCTGCAAGGACCCGGCAGGGCGAAGATTGGTGGTGTTGGCGGCTTCAATTGTTATCAACTTTCCACGCTTGACTGGTGAGAGACGCGCCCCCTCCATCACTTTCCAACACCTTGTAATACAGATCACAGGGATTTGTCGCGAAGTTTTCCCTAGACGTATACCACCCCCTACCTTTGAAACCTCTTGCGCCAGATCCGTGTATTAATATCATGACCCCACTTCCATGTAGGCGAAAACTTTTCGCCCCACTGCATCAATTCTCCCAAACTAGTCAGTGGGGCTCGACCGCTTGTTGGACGGCGCTGTACAGCTGCCTACGGTCGTCACAAATAATGCAGAAACATCCATAAAACGGTTGGGATTTTTTGTCCGGGATAAATGAAGTCGAAGTCTGCACGCGCTTCGTGTCTTCCGCTCGGCTTGCGTTGCTTTGTAGCTGAGAAGCGGCAGTCGGACGACGGGCGGCCCGGGCGAGCCTTTGTCTGTTCGCGTGGCCATCGTGCGTCAACACGAGACATACACAATCTATATTGTTGGCAAATTACACCATTGCGCTGTTGGGTGAAGGGGGAGGGGCAACGTGGGATACAGATATCGCCTTTCTTAACTGTCACAAACTAACAGGCCGTGAGGCAGGGGTCAAATGGCTCTCTCTCCCTGGCCCTGCGGGAAATTCAGCCAAGGAGCTTCCACCCATCTAGGGTGTCCTGCACAGCGACTCCGTGTACGGGGACTTTGCTCGCAAACTATAACGTTGTGCTGTATTTTGTTTACCGTGTAATACTATGCAAATCTCTTTCATTTTGTAAGGTAGAAGTCCAGGCATTAATTTTAAACAGTGCTACAACCAAAATCATCAAATTTACACCACCTACATATGCACTTCCTTCAAACAAATATTACTTCGACGGTTCCGAGGATTTCTACATGCAGTAATTAGAAAGTAGCTACGCAGTTATGTTTGTGTGGTATCTAATTTTTTTTCTTTTTATTTTTAATCTTTCGTGTTTCATTATGCCCACAGCACTGCATCTCTTATTTTTTTTTTCGTCTAATTATGGTGTGATACACGATTGGACAGCGAAAGAATCCGCAAATAATGCCAGAGCACAAGGAATCACGCACCAATTTTTCCATTTCTAACGGAAGGAACAAATTCCTTTTCCATCGCTTCCCTTAAAGTTTTACCTATACACTTGAGTCGTTCGACGTCCCGCACGTGCCTAGACCACGGGCCCACAGAGCTATGACTTTGGTGGCACGCGTTGGTCCCACCGCACGCGACGCGCACAACTCACCCTTAAGATAAATCAAACATCGGAGTATTTGGGAAGTTGTCATATTTGTTTTTGACTTACTCTGTGTAAACCACGTCAGATATAAACTCTAAAAGGGAAGCAGCGGCGAGACACGTGGGAGCAAAGTCCGACTTGAACTATTATCACAGTAGACAAATCACTATAACCTTATCTACACCTGACGGCGGCAAACAAGGAAGAAGTAAGTGACAAAAAAGGACTCCCATTGCCAGCAGCTGCATGCACAACATCAATGTCGGAATGCTTTCAGATCAAAAAGGTGTAAAAAAGCACAATAGAAACATGAAGCTCCAAGCAGGGAGATTTTAGAGTTGAATAAACCGACCAGGTGTACACGTTGAACGGTTTCGCTGGGATTTCCATTCTACCCGTGGCAAGTTCAGGAAACTGGGGTGACACCACCGTCTTCAAGCCATTATCCAGCTTAACAAATAGGACAAAAAGTACTTCAGGGCACAAAAATGAATTCTATTCCACAAAACGTCAGATTTAAGTTCACAACATCAAACAAACGCCTTGAAACATCGCTTATAATCGAGTAATTTGATTGACTGTAATAATAAAAATAAAAATTAATAGATGGTTATTTGTTTGATATCTGGATCCTTAGGAACAACAGTGGAAAACAAACGAACAACAACAACAAATCAATAAAAGTTACAATGAAACTGACAGCACAAAATAACAGATTTAACCACAAATGTCAACAAATCGACAGAACGTCACTAAATTTCATCAAAACGAACGTTCAAATGAACACATAATCAACTATGACAGATGTGTCATAGTCTCTCAAGCAAGAATCTGTCTACCATATGCTGGTAGCTTTTTCGTTGCGTTGTGCATCTTTTAAAGGGCAATCAAGAAGAGCAATGGCTTAAATATATAAACGTGAGGACAATAGACCATGAATGTTACGTAAAGCGATTACAAACCCATTAGAACAGATAATGTTGTGGGTACAGCATACCAAATAATTGTGCCTTTAATCAATTAGGGTAAGTAAGTTGCGGTCATTCACTTGTTAGAAGATGAACCACATTTTCATTACAAGAACAAAGATGAAGAACTACCCCAACAGAACAAACCAGGCTGGAATTCAATTATCAAGTAAAGATGCAGCTAAAGAACAAGCACAATTTTAACTTGTTATCATTGCAATTCACTTTCTTGTAGTTGAAGATTCCGAAGTGAGAGTTTATTTTTCTTTTAGACCTGCCAATCAGTACCTTATGTCAAATGAATGTACATTTTCATATTGTATTCACACTAGCCGCTTTGCTCTTCGATTTTTGAATAAAAAGTACATGTAGTATTTTCCATTAGTTCACATTTGAAACTTCAGACCCGTACAATTTATTTGAAATACATTACAGATATAAAGACTACCATCGTTTACCCTAAAAATACCCGCTTAAATTCTGAAAGTTGTATTTCCTCTATTTAATAACACATAATTTTATAAACCCTACTTATTTCGCTCAGCATACCTAAAAATAATACCACGATTGGGTGTGATTACAATAGCCCAATCTCCAACCGTCAACCACAAGCACTATACAGAGCCTATGATGAGCCAATCATAGGTCATCGTCACAGTCGACCAACGAGTAAGACTGCCGATTGGTCATCTGCGTAGAGCTTAATTTCTACACCTGTCAGATCACGCATGCGCTGTGCACAGCTGCACCAAAGTCCAATTCTGTAAATGAAAGCATAAAAACATGTAGTCCTGATATTATAAATACATATGCATTCATTCAGCCGAGTTTCAAGCAATTTATCTGTTTGTGTTAACTTACCCCTACAGCGCATGCTCAGTTCACGGTTGAATCCTTCAGCCTATTACAAACGGACCCCCAAAAGCCGTAGATGGGGGCGCGCCTTTTGTTAGACGCGCATGACAACGTCACTTCATTCAAGATCACTTTGTATACGTTGAATGCTGCGGTTTACGGATAGGGAGAATGCTGGTCAGGCACACTGGCAGATTCACCTACCATATGAATCAGTGTTACAGGCACACAGTTCATTAGCATAATCATGACGTGTGGCCTCTGAACTACCAAGCACTGCTAAGGTAAAGCTTCAGATTTGACACGGAGTTTAGTAGCAACCACCACACACACCACAAACTCATCATCGAGCTCTTATACTCCACTAAATAATGGCTTGTCGTCAGTTCATCGTATAGCTTCCTTGGAAGTCGGACTTCCACGCAACTTCGAACTCTAGTGGCTATCGATCAATCAAATTAGTAACAAATTGGCAAGTGCGCATCTTGGGACTTCAGCAAGTTAGTGGACTTGTATTTTCTTCTTCTTGGAAAATCAGCTGAACGAGTCAAGATGCCTAGGTCTTTCTTGGTTAAAGCGAAGGGGAAAAAAGTCACCTACGCACCTGCCATCAACATGGATGCAGAGGCAAGAATGGTCAGTGCATTCACGCCTGTAACACCTCGGAAGAAAGGTAAGAACGCGTAAGAGCAATCTTAAGTAACGCCCAATTTATTGCTAAGCAATAAATCCCGAGAAAAAGAGCGAGTTTTACAGACTATTTTGCATGGTGGGCCTGACGTTTGAAAAGGTAAAACAGAATTCTAAAAATCCACTAAATACAGAACTTTTCTTACTTGTCAACACCAAGTTGGAAATCGGTATTTTATTTTAATGAAAACAATGTCCGGTACAATGGGCATCAATCTGAAACGGCTGTATCTGAAGAAAAAAATGATACGTGACATCTTTTCCAACAGAATAAAATAGACCCACGAGAGCAGTCTTTTAGTGGAAGTAAAATGGTTGTGTAATCACTGCTGTGGACTACCTAAGCAACTTAATCAAATCCAAGGATTTCAAATTCCTCGAATGCTACCCCGGATTTGTTCTGTATTAAGAATGGGCTTCAGTTGCATTGTTCAGCTTTAAATCCATGGCATCTTTCTTTATCAAACTAACCATAACTTTATTTCAGGTTAAAGCGTAGTACACTACTCCTGAAATCCTTCTAGTCATAATCTTCTCATCTCTGCAATATCTGAAAATCCTCAAACTGCTTACAACCGTCTCCTAATACCTAAATTCAGCGTTATTGTCAACGTATTTAGATTTCAAAAAATCCGGAGTGAACGGTGGATTTTAACCAAGGCTTTTCCAAAATCTGCAGCTTCTGAAATGCGGATTAAGTATAAGGCATGCACCTTTGTTCAGCCTGAGTTTAATTTTTTTTGCGAACGAAAGCTACGTCTTCCTGCTATTACTCGATGACAAAATTGCACTTGTGTGAACTGCACCTTTTTTTTTTACTGCATTCAGCCCGACTGAGTTCCGGGTGCAGGGTACACCTTGGGCTCAGACACACAGGGGCGTCTAGCAGAGCACCACTGGGTGCGACAGGTGAATTGATTGGTGCTGGCTTGCGTGAATTTTGTATGCACAGCTTGCCCGTTTTATCTTGTAATAGTACGCTTAACACCAGTGGACAGCAGGTGTGACGGGAGTGCACGAGGCGGGCCTACATCAATAACAAGCTAAAAAAAATCACAAATCAAAGCCGAAAAAATCAAGCCAGACGCCTTTTATTCTGCATTCAAATAGTCACATCTGTTTAACATGTCGCTGGTAATGATTTGAGTTGATTGTAAATCTGAACCCAGCAGTTTAAAGTTTGGATTTTTTTGGGGTAATAGAGGACTATTTGACACGATTGTGTTGGAACATATGGTCCTGTACATTTTTGTATCTTTGGATTTTTGAAGTATGTGCATAAATCTAACGACAAACAAAGTTCCTGCCCGATGGCTTCCATAATTCTTGAATCCCTATCGATATTTAATAAGCTCTTGTCTAACAAAATCATTATCACATTGTGTTTTGAACATCTGTTTGAGAATTTTCTAACCAGTTGTTACTGAGGTAGCTTTAAGTGCATATCCAAGTCGTCCTGTATGCCAATGCCAACTGATCCTCTTTTGTCTGGTTATTAGTTTTGAAAAACATTTTCCAACAGTTGGGAATTTTAATAGAAATTTCCACTAGGTTTTAACTGTACACACCTGCTGAAGATAACTAACAATATAACCCCAAAAAAACTTTTTCAAAGGAAAAGGAAATGCATTAATTACTACAGTAGCTTATTCTCTGGTCGGAATCCATTTTATGTTTTTGCCTGTGATTTCAAATCCAATTTGGTCATATACCACACGCAAAACGCAGTTGATGATTCGGAGAACCAAACTGGGCAAGCACACAGCGTGGCAAGTTTTATTACCCAAACCTAAAAATGCATTTGCTAGATTCAATTTGCCGTAAGGATACTAAAACGAAACGACAATGCAATCTCAAACCTGCGGGTACAAAGGCACAGTGATACAACCGGGGCTTTTTGCTAAAACATACCCGCACTCCCTGTGGACAAACAATTAAGCCCGATTGTCTTCAATTGATTGTCAAAATAGAAACTCCATTAGAAACAAAGACAAAAACAGCTTACAATAGCAGGGTCACAAATTAAACGGAATTGGAAATGCTGTGAATAGATTTCGTGTAATTATTAAACAGAAGTTCTCTACAGTTGTGACCCAGCACAAAAACAGACGGAATCGGTTTCAGAGCTTATTTTTTTGGTGATACAGCGTAAACCCTATCAGCAGAAAACAGAACCCACTCGTCAAAATGTTTGCTGCACTCGCAGCATGGAAGACCAGGTGTAGTTTGCCCACTATACCTCGTTTTTTAAAAACTCTGAATGTGGATAAATTCCATGTAGGTTCTATTATTTTTTTGTTTTGAGATTGGTCGACAGTTCCACTTGTTACCGCGCTCCTTTTTCTCTCTCTCTCTCTCTCTCTTGACAAAACGTGCCGTTCAGCTTTAGAACTGAATTTGATTTGATGAATTAAAAAGTGGAATATTCCTGAAACGTTTCGAGGAAAAACGCTGATGTTTGTTCAATATTGGAACAGGTTTCAAATAAAAGGCATCGTGTTAATAGCAACATCGCGGATGAATTTTCATTTTGTGGTAGCCTGCAAAGTCTCCATATAATAATGTTTTTAATTTGTGTAATTTTTGGTTCAATATTTTCGCACACGCTTATAAAGAATTCAATGTTGATGTGTACATAATTTTCATGGCTAATCAGACTATGCTTTAGCGTTTGAGATTTGGGACGTGCTGTGAAGGTACTACAGATGTGAACTAGCATGAATTATGTGGCGAGTTCTAGCGAGAGGGATGCAATTGTGTCAAGTGCATGATTATCAGTTTGTAGCGTGCTTCTCGTTCTCCATCCCATTTCATTTTCGCTGATTCGCAGATAGTGTGTTTAGCACGGCGTAATGTCAATTCACCACCATCACGACGGTAGATTCAACGGGGACTCTGGAAAGCATTCCCTCTTGTTTGTGTTCATCAGAAACTGCCGTTTTGGCCGTCTCGCCTGACTGCTCAGTCGACAGCCAATCCATTTCACCATCTAGTTTTAATAACGTTTTTCGCTCCCCAGAGCTACCCGTTGGCTGCGACTTGGAGATTGAACGAGCCGTGACTATTGGACCGTATGAAGCTTCTGCGGTGCCCGGCAAGCAACACAGCCCAACTCAAAGCATCGACCAACGCTTGGTTGAAATGACCGCCATGTCACAGAGACCGCCTCTACCGGGACCAATCACCATCTTGCCCTGCTCCCTTCCTCTAGGCTACCCACCACAACGACCCCTAGGTAGCCCCAGCCAGCGGTGGCCCAGTGAGATCTCCAGCTATGACATCCCTTCACCGCCGGCCAATGGTAATAACAATATGGCCAATTCTCCACATTGTCGCTGTTTTATGGGAATTTCCAGACATTTCTCGCTTGCAAACACCTGCACTAATCAGGGGAAAAAATCAGTCTTTGGCCAAGCAATTACCGATGGGCAAATCCCACACGGGTAGTTCTGCCGCCGAACGGCAATGAAGATTCCTAGTCACTCTGCAAGCCAAACTGGCAAACGAGACCAGTTTTTAGTAATAGTTTGAGTGCTTTACAAATCTGAATTACCGCTAAGAGGGCCCATGGGTCTGATCCACCAAACAACGCCGAGATCTCGGCCCGTCTCCAGGCTCGTTTTCCTCGTCTGCTTTCCCACGATCAACAGCCGCAAGAAATCGACGGCGGTGATTAGCTTTGTGTTAACAGCAGCAGCGCGACTGCCATACCCAGGCTAAAACCACTTCTATGATTGATAATTACTTAACAAAGTTGTAATTAGAGGCTGTGCGTAAGGGTAATTACCCAATCGTATATGATCATCCCTGCTGAGGTCAAGTGAACTATTCCATTGACATGTTAAGGCGAATCCGAACTTCGAGACAAACTCGGAACATTACAGATAACTACACGCGAGTAAAGTGAAGCCATATGCCAGCACATTAACGGAGTAATATCACTGACGAAAATTCCAGAAGTCGATAAGCTGATGGCCTTCTATGTGTCTGGCTTTCTACATGTCTGACCTTCTACATGTCTGAAACACTAATGTAACATTTTTGTAATCCATTATCTGTCCATTCGAAACACATTACATCTACGACTATTTCGGTTTGTTTGATGCATAATTCCCGTTAATTAGCATCGGGTGGCATTTAACTGCATTTCAACACATTACTGAAAAAGGAAAAGAAAAGTTTACAAGTTCGTATTGGACACCTACTTAGTTGCACCTGTAAGTTATTACATGTATTAATCAAAAATTGCCGTCAGCTGAAAACCATGTTTCGCTTTCTTTAACGTCATCAAGCATATCGGCATGTTCATATAAACCAATGTCACTGATGCTTGATCGCCAAAGCGAAAAGTTCCCAAACACGCAATAATTTCCCTGTATACATTCCCTAAAATCCCAGACATTATCCTAGAGACAATTCTGCCTTCTCCTTTTCTTTCTTTCTTTCTTTCTTTTTTTTTTTTTGGAGCATCGGGGTTTAATGAAACTCGGAAATTTTTCCCTGCATGGCTGGATGGTTGATGGGGGAGAAACAGCGACTTGGCTGGGCACGGACGCGCACGGGCAACCATTACAGATTTCGTTTGCTTTTTTTCTTGAGACGCTTTCCTTATTAGAAAATCGCGTGTCAGCATTTGGGCTGTGATTGCATCGGATACGATCAATTAAAATGCACCTGTCTTGATCGAAAAAACAGGTGTTGATAAGAAGGAATTACTGGCATAGGCAAAGGGTATTCCTCTGATCACCAAGAAATTGGTCTAAAGTAGCGTGCCTTTTTTCAAAATTTTAATGTGAACTTGATATCATTTATCGTACATTCCTTGTTGAACAGAATGTTAAAATAATTTAAAGTATACTACATTATAGTTGACCTGTTTTCTATGTCAAATTATAAATAGCTTCGGACGAATTGTCTATGACATGGAAATTTGACCTCAAATTGGCATGCGTATTGAAACCCTCAAAAAATCGAGCGAGCGTACCCAGCTCAAGGATTGGATATTATCTTTACTTTTCTTTGATAAAGGACGCCCATTGTGGTTTGACTTAATAGCTGACCAATTAACGACGGGGGCGGTTTCATCAAAGACTTGCGTTCAATGAGGGTTGATGGGCTGTAATTGGATCTGTTACATAGGCGTTTAATGCAATTATTCATTTAGAAGAATCTTGCGGTCTTCTTTTACTCATCTCTTCCGCTTTTATTATTTCAAATCATCCCCATTTCCCGTAAATTATTCTTTCCAAGATTGCCACAATACCCATAAGTCTTTTGAAGGGAATCTAAAATCTATGGCAGGGCATATCACTGCTGCTCAATGTGACCGTCTGTCGTCACTGCTAAATAAGATCACTCTTTCAAGTAATTTGTTCCACACATCCGGTTGGGGGTAAATCAACATGGCAACTTTTAATAATGCACGGCATGATATTGCTTTCTTCCCCAGGCTTTATCAGCCGTGAAATATCTGAGCTTCTGAAAGATGGCCGCCTTAGCTACACTGACGTCTACAGAGCCCGCTTTGCACAAATCGAGAAAGATTTACTAAAGTCCTTCTCTCTTGAGGATATGAACTGGTACCGGGCCAAGCTGGGAGTGAATGTTCCCACCTATGCCCCGACACTCCCCGATGTGGCAGGTTTCAGACCTCAAGGATTTGTGGGGATTGACCGTCCACCTTTACAGAGAAGATTCTCCTCGGATTCTGATGAGCTTCCTTCCGAGAGGAAGTTGTTCACTCCTTCACCAACACTGTGTGGTTCTCCCGGCCAACATGGTACTTACACCTGCCTGGACTGTGACAAGGTGTTCAGTACCCCTCATGGACTAGAGGTTCACGTGCGCCGGTCACACAGCGGCAAGAGACCGTATGCTTGCGACCTGTGCCACAAGACGTTCGGTCACGCCGTTAGCTTGAGTCAGCACCGGGCAGTTCACAGCCAGGAGAGATCGTTCCACTGCAAGCAGTGTGGCAAGACCTTCAAGAGATCATCCACTTTATCGACTCACATGTTGATCCACTCCGACACGCGGCCTTACCCTTGTGAGTACTGCGGAAAACGATTTCACCAGAAGTCTGACATGAAGAAGCACACTTATATTCACACAGGTAAGGGAAACAATCTTATGGAGCATCTTGGGTTTGAGAAATCGAAGCGATGACAGATTTGAAAACAACTTTATTATATTAAATTGTTGGTAATGAAGAAAAAAATGTCTGAACTCTTGCAGAATTTGTATAAAATTATTATCATTTAAGACATTCCCGAAGTTTGCCATTTGGCTTTACGCATAAGAATGAGAGATAAGAAAGAAATAAAAGATCAGTGGAAAGGATGTGGGAACATGTAAGAAGCCGGATGTAGATGCGGCGAATTTGTGACGTGTAGAAAGAGAATTATTGACAGAAGGATAAAGAGGATGTTGTAATGTAATCTGCTTAACACACAGAGAGAAAAAGAACCTTTCTACAGGAAAACCAACTTGAGGAAATGTGCCTTGGGCACCCAAACAAAAATCGATGGGTGCCTTAACCACACCTTTACAATCTTCAAACCAGTCACTTGTCAATAGGGCAGTATTGTTGTTTATATCCGATATCCTAACCGTGTTCCATCTTGGAATCCATTGTTTGTAGTCTTGTCATTCCCAGAGGGATATCTCAAGATGTACAGAGATCAAATCAAGGCAAGACGTCAACGGTTGTTTTAAATCAAACATATAGATGTGAATTGCCAGAGTTGTTGGGGGTAAAGTTCATTAAAGATTAAAGGGTTGTATCTTGGCTTGGAAGATACCCCTAGGCTTTATAATTGAGCTGGATGCAACGTCTAGAAATGGCCAGAGGGATGCCCCCCCCCCCGAAGATAGAATGTCCCAACATTGAGTCCGTAATTAGTCATACTTTCAAGCAAAACCCAATTCTCGGATATTCCTCGACTTGAAGGAACAAACAAGTAATCACGAGTTTTCTCAGATTTGCTGGAGTCCTCTCCTAAAAGTTGCAAACCACAACATGTAAATCTGACCAAATCCTTTCAGGGCAAAGATGCAGGTTTCAAAAGACGACCAAAACCACCATGGAGAAAACCCACCCCTGCGCCCCCTCCCCATTGTACTGGCGACTTCGCCCCGTGTAGTTGCACTTTCTTTTCAATAAGCGAACAAGCAGCCCTAGATATGAGTACACTGCTTCTGTTGTACCAACTACAGCAAAACAGATCAAGCTTAATCACTTGAAGACATGGGATTAGGGGGGGGGGTAAAGTTAGCTGAAGAGGGTAATGCAGCCCAACCCCAAAGCACTTAATCTTCTCAAAATGTTGAACAATAACAGGAGCTGGAGTCTAACGTAATCTACGTGAGATGACTGTTGTGGTTGATGCTTTGTGTCCCTGGCAACCAGCTTTCTCAAAACGCTAATTTTGTCTGCGCTTGTTCAGTCCCCCCCCCAAAAAAGAAGTTTTTTTCCAAGCAACAGGTGAGTTACATGACTGAACTTGACAGGAGTACACGAGACAAATAAAATAAAAATCTATCCACGGAAAACACCCAACAAACACAATTGGTTGTTGCTCAAACTTTTTGCACCAGTTGTCTGAACTGTTGGGTAAATATTCTCCTAAAGTTATTTTTGAATGTAACAGAAATTAAATAAATTAAGCAAAAAATGATAACGGCTCAATTTCTCGTGAAGAAACCCAGTGAAATCAATTTGCTAGGCTGGTACAAGTTAATTCCTTTGCAGGTCAGCGTTATAGCGTAATTAGAAGCTCAATTTTATTAGTCTAAAACACCATATGGTGACAAGGTAGTTTTTTTGTCAACAGTCCAAAAGACTAAAACGATTGACGTGCGACCAGCTACACCTTAGGAAGGATCAAGATATTCACAAATTTATGTTCCAAAACAAGGATTTTATTGTCCACTGGCGCCTTACAAATTAACACCCGTACCTTTTTTTTCTACCAAATTTATAAATATTAATCGACAAGTCCATTATAATGCATCTTTGTCCCACAATGTAACGGATGGTTCCCTGATGTATAGTTTCCCTTGGAAAGGAGAGAATATCTCGATTTTCAACCAGCAGTAAAAACTGAACATACAATTCCTTGTCTATTTGTATACTTGAACGCAAATTAGGATGCTAATGAGATGTAGCCATATGTTTGCTGAATTAATCCAACGCGTCACTGATTTTAATGGATTTTTTGTATCTAAAAAAACAATCGTTGAGAAACATCAGCGTTCCCGTGCATGAATGAGCTAAGAGCTGAATAAAACTCTTTCAAATATATATATATATATATTTGGTTTGTCTGTAAAATCAATTATAACCATACATATGATGGGAATCATATACTGGGAACCATCAAGAATAACCAAAGCAATAAGCTTCATTTACCCTCAAAAAGACATTTTTAACTTTTTATGGGGTCAACAAAACTTTAAGTGGCTGCATAAAACAGTCGTTGGGTTGTGGTGGTTTTGCACTGCTTAATTCAGAAAGCTGTTGGTGTGATCTTAAGTGACAAGATGAGTATCATCTTGCGAGAAGAATGGGGCCAGACGGGTCAGAAGGAGACGATAATTGGATGTTGACATGAAACTGATAGATTAGGAGAGAATATTGGTGTGTTAGGGAGGCAGTCTTTATAGACAGAAATTCAATCCAGTCCTGATTTGATTGGCCTGGTTTAATAGGGTCGGAATCATTGACAGAATGTAAAAAATATCGATGAAATTCCTGATAAACATGTATTGATAAATCTCAATGCAAATCGGTGTAAGTAGTAATGTGCGTGGGGGCCCGGTCCTTCATTGTTAAACATGAAGAATTCCTACAAACTCTACAAAAAGATATAACTTTATATAAACTTCAGGTTTTGTTTACAAACTATAAGGCTGTATATTGCAATTCACACAAACATTCCTTCTTGTGCAATTCTCAGATGATGTTACATTATACTCCTTTATGTCAGCAATTGTCCTGCTTGAAATATGTTGGCCGAATGCCTGTGTTATTTCGAGGGCTCGACATGTCGTACACACCACTCTTGACTTTCCCGTCTCAGTGTTGCATTATTAATACGAGCGTGTCTTAGAGTTTCTACGGGAGAACTAGTGTGGTCTTCTGGGGCGGCTCTTCAATTGCCCACGCCGCACTACCGCAGTCGTGGGGTGGGTGGTATAGTACAGCTAGGGTGTCTCTCCTCCGCCTATCGCTCTCCCACGGGTCTGGTTAGGATATGGTGATTGTGAAAGGGGGTCAGAGATGGTGTGGCAGTAACGAAATCTCGCACATGCTCGGATGTGCAGTATTCGTGTGAAATTTGAAAGATTGATGGATCAGGCCTGACAAAAAATGGGTCGCTGCTTTGACGTTTGTCAAAAAAAATCGAAGATTTCGAAGTTGTTCTCGCTATTCCTGCCTTGCATCGCCAGGGTGTTGGAAATAGCTGTAGGCTAGATTGCTCGATTTGATTCTTCTTTTGATTCGCACATGATTTATTCTCTCTCATTTTTGCGGTGATGAGGTGACTAATTTGCGTTAGGCGTAGTTCTGTTGTGATTTTCGATACACAGCCGGTGCTCTTTACATCGTCATAACCGAACCCCACGGCACATTTGCCACTGCAGATGCACCTTTACAATATGGAGCGCCAAAATGACAAGTTCAGTCGTCTCAAAAACATGGTCGAAAGACCACTCATTTTTTTAACAACATGGGAAAAACGACATAAAACACTTCACTTCCTACTTGTCATGACAAGACTAACAGACAATACTCAGAACCAGTATAAAAACGAATGATCCCAATCGAGGTCAATGTACTATATGAATGCCAAAATGGAATCTCGAAGGATTTCGATGAGGTACATGTGTCGACAATCGAACTGACTACATCCTATATGAAAATGAACCCAGCTTTGTACCCTCATCTTTTTGCAGTCATGTCCGTTTCTGTTTTCGGATTTTGTCTTTCATTCAATTAATCGTCTTCTTTGTTGGCGCGGTGTTTCACGTAAGTCGAGTTTTTGTCCATTAAAGTGCCACCATATTTCAGAAGCCATTTCAGACTGATCACGGCATGTGCAAGGAAGAGTTCAGTGTTTTCCAAATCTAAACAGATGATTTTTGCTATTGTGCAAAATATTTTAGTAGAAATGATAGACGCTCCACAAATCAATGCAATTGCTACGATTAAAGTCTATAATTATTTTATTGATGAGACGCTACAAAACAATATAGTGAAGATTGGTTGAGGGAAGCCACCAAACAATGAACTCCTGTACGCTGAAAAACTTGCATAATAATACCCTTGAACAGCACCAACAGACGGCCCATAAGACACTGTTGTCGAAAACTTATTATATTGTTTGCCAATGCACGCTTAAGTTACCAGGCAATATCTTGCTTGTCTCTATGGACCAAGCAAGCCACACGTCCCATCATAAAGGTTTACACCGTGCGGGCGACGTGAGACATCGTATCTGTGACAACGACATTCCCTTTCGGCAGGTGGCGAACCCGACCGAGCATAACTTCCGCGGCCCAGTCGCAGTTCACCGGACCGACCACGCTACACTCTTACCGGTAATTCTACTCACCGCACGGCCTGGCATGAGCGCGCGTATCGGGTGCCGCAGCTGTGTGGAATTAGTTACGGCAAGACGGTTTCCCAAATCCCTCGAGTAGCAAACAGACACTTCTGTCTCCGTCACAAGTGACTTAGCGACTATTACTTAAGACTTAAGACGCCCCGTCTTGATATCGGCATCTTCCTGATTCTTACACTTGAGAAGTGTTGGCTTTTTTGCTGTTAATTTGTGCATGCATGAGGCGCTATGCGAGCCGAGGTTGAGGTGAGATGGGATGGAGGGGTATAGTGGCGAGACACCTATAAGGCACGCCGCGAGGCGGGTACATACGCACCAACGAGCCCGCCAACAAAACTGACTCTGCACGCTAGAACACCCTCTAAAATTGGTTACAAACCCCCGCTCCCGACAAATTTGGTTGAAATCCGTGTAATAGTGGCGGGGAGAGGCGCCCTGTCATTTGAGATGTTGTCGTGAAAACATCTGGCCCGGAATTTCAACTGGAAATGTTCAAGCTGAAATGTTCCTGCCTTTGAACAATAATTTTGGCGGCTCTGCAATTTTAAAAAAGTACGTTTTGAAACCAATCTGTCAGAACAAGCAGATTTTTAGCGTTATATTTCCTGTCATGTACGGATCTTTCCTCGTTTTGAGGACACTTATTTAACAGGTCAACCAGCCAAAAATAGTAACATTGATTTTAAAATTCCTTTTTAAAACTTCACCTTACTCCCAGGGCAAGTTACAGCATAAACAGAGTGCCTGGCAGCTTTTGAAGTTCTTGTACGTTTTTTAAAGGAGGAAGTTACAAGACTTTGGCAAGATTGAGGGCTCTTTGTTTGGTCACACGGTCTTCATTAGTCCAATATTTTGGTGTTAAGTATTCTCAAGTGGCTGTCTGTTGTACTCTAGTTGAAATAGAACAGAGCGAGAGTCATTTTAGGTTTGTGTGAAGTGGTTGAGTGCTTGGCTCGTTTGTTTGAGTGTTCATAGAGGACAACTGGGAATGTTGCCACAGTACACAAGGATCACTGTTGAGCAGTTTTGTTATAAATCAAATAAATAAAACACGTTGGATCTTATCTATCGAAACCATCCTTTAATATATTACGGATTAATCGACTGACATTTAGCAATTTATCTAGATCAAATAATTCTGCTTATTCCGTCAAATTAGCAATTAATCCGATTTCCAATCGATGGTTGTCGAATACTAAATTCATGCTGATCGATCCCTATAACACAGAACTCAATATTCAATTATTTTTTCTCTCCGTGCATTAGGTGAGAAGCCACACAAATGCCTCGTGTGTGGTAAAGCATTCAGCCAGTCTTCGAACCTTATCACGCACAGCCGTAAACACACGGGATACAAACCGTTTGGATGCAAGATCTGTGGGCGTGCCTTCCAACGGAAAGTGGATCTCCGCAGACACTTTGAGACACAACACCCTGACCAAGAGAGAAGCGCAACATCCATGATGGGCGTACTGACCATGTGATGGGAACGTCATCATCACCTGATCGTGACATGATAACGACAAAGTCACGACACTGGACATGATTTGGACAATAGGTTATGCACGTTGTGCAACGCAGTCACGCTGAACAGCGCAAACTAACTTGTCGTATATTGTTAATATTGTATAAAGTGTAATATATTTACAAAAAATTATTCTGTAAGTAATGTTTAAAACGAAAATGGCCGCACACATTTTGAAGTGGAAATAGCACGTAGCTTACACCATTGTTATGATCTAAATTTATTCAGAAACTTTGAAGTACTTTCAGAATGAAGTTGAGATTCCCCTCTTAGAATTAAGAATACTCAAGATATTGTTTTGACAAGTCATCTTTTAAACATGTTTCATGCTTTACACTTATACTGGGAACATGAGGCAATAGAATATAAATGTTGGAAATTGGCTAGTACGGGTAGAATCCACGCCGAGATTGCAGCAAGAATGGGAGGAGCATAGAGGTTTACATGGCTGCCACCTTGCAGGCCAATACTTTTGTTCTAGAGGGTATGCATCAAGGAGGTTTCCTATGGAACAAAAGAACTGCCCTGCAAGATGGCCACCGCGCAAAGCCTCTATAGGAAATAAACTAGGAGTAGGAGTCAGGATGAGGTTGGAAACAAATCTGGGAAATAAATAACGTGAGTGTATGTACCTCTAAATTGTGTGACACTACCGGGAAACACGGTAAATCAAAGTTTGTGTTAATGATTCTTATTATATGCAAAATAGACAGAACCAGACAATCTGAATAAAATTACTTTGTTTTACTGGATATGGTGAAGTTGGGCTTGATTTTTTCCATTGTGAATTTTTATATCGGAATAATCCAGTGCAGATTAAACTAGAAAAAAAAACATAGCTAACGTCATGTCGAAACAGAAAGCTTGCACAATCGGGCCCCGTGTTTGAATAGCCAGATAAGAATCGTATTGGGACAGACACAGCTGTTAAACGAACAAGAAATTTCTCACAATAGTTTCTTCAAGCCAGGGATGGATCATTTCTTAATACGGACGATAGATGTCTAGAATCTATGGCCAAATCGATGCGGTTGAGGAAATCTAAATTAATTATAAGCAAGATAATGAACGAGGACTATGGAATGGGAACATTACCAGGTTAATATTAGGTAAACACAACACGAACTCGTGGTGTTGAATGGATAAAATCTATGAAATTCAATGAAAAATGCCAACTACTATTTAATGCCTGAATGGGCTGGATTTACAAATGCAAACAAAACGGTTGTCTGAAATACGCATTGATTTTTTTTCTTTTACCAAACAAAACGCTGGTAGAGTGGTTGAAAACGAAAGATATAGCCATTTTCGGAGTGTAGATATGATAATGCTGGGTGCATGGTACAATTCAGTCTTCCGTTTTTCTTTGTCGATTTGGGGCGCCTCGAATGTTTGCTTTAGTTAGAAGAAAATATGGGTAGTCACGTGTATCCAAAACGAACTAAAAAGAAGCTCGTTTGCTTTGACAAAAACCAACTCGCGTTCATTGTAATTCTGCCCAATGAGGCATCTACACGATATGGGAAGCCTTTCATCGGCATAATTTTTTGGTTTTGATGAACATGAAGAGGCGTGCTTGACGATGCTAAGAACTGGAGAAAAACTTGGTCAAATGACTTCCTACACAAAACCGACAAATTTCTCTCAGAAATAAATCATCTTCTAGTTGTGGCTTTCACGATTACAGACTAAAGAACACAAAGGTTAAAACCATAAATCGTTCAAAAAGAAAAAAAAGAAACAATATTTCTTTCTACCAGTAGAATAATCGGCGGTTTTATCAAGCAAACATTTAGCTATTCTTTCCCGACGTGTGCATTCAAAGCTACTCAAACAACAAGTACAAAAGATTATGTAGATTCTTGAAGTCAAAGATTTGTTCTTTTTTGTTACCATGGGAGCAAAATACTGGCGGTAGTGAGATAAGGTGGACAGTGACCCCGAGGTATCCCTTGGGCGAGACGTAGGTCGACAAAATATGCTGGTGGATCGTGGATAGATTCACTAACAGTAAGCGGCAAACAAGATCGATCCGAGACCCCATCACTGAAACACGGGCTTTGTGTTTGAAGCAGTAGAGTCAAGCATCAGTGGATGGGAACGAAATATTGAGATATAAGCAGGTAGTTTAAAACGAAACTGACAAAGACCACCACAGGTCTCAAAAAGTCCCAGTTTGCTTTATTAATTAGGATCAGGTGGATATACTAGGTCTATCAGCGGATAAGTGAACATTAAAGCAATGGATTCCCAGGTTAACTTCGATCGATCAGGGACCCGCATCGCTTATTACTAAGCCGGGTAAAGCTGAGAAGGCAACAAGAAGGGATACGACACTCAAGCATTCCTTGATGAAAAAAATGCTACAAAACTTACATTGAAAAAATCCCATTCCCATAAGATGGCATTTCTCTCAGACCTCTGTTTGTTCATTACAATTCATTAATAACAATCACAATAGGCTGAATGCGTGGATTCTCAATACACATGGAAGTTCCATCTCAGGAATTTTCAGACCGTACATCAAACAACGGAACTGCGTGCATTTTAAACACCAAAACAAATCAAATACGGGAAATCAGCATAACATCATGCCTGGTCGGAGTACCGATATGGACATGTTGTTGACAGAGAGGTTTAAGAGACTTACCAAGGGAATTTGATAATGGACAAGTGAAGGTTGGATCTAAGTAGAAAACCAAGGAACTGCTTTCGTAAATCTGAGGCTTTTTCTCATCCTATTCAATCTAGACCAGTCCGGTATTTTTATAACGTCTTAAACAAGGTCCCGAGAAGCAGATAACAAGAGGGAGAAGATATTTTATGGACTTTTTGTCGGGGAGGGGGGTTACTATACTGGATGACAAGTTGATGGATTGCTTTTTAAAAGGGAGAGTTGTCTAGAAATGTCAAAAGTCGAGAACCAATCTGAAGATACAAATCTTCCTTGTTAGGTGGTAGTGTATGATTGGTATGACCCCTTTGTATGACACATGTAGAGTGGATAACTTAGACTGGAGGCGAGGTCTGATTAAAAGTACACAAACTGCATTAATTAAGGGATGACAAAAAAGGTCACACGACAATGAAAGAAGGAACATGTTCGGTAAAATAAGGGAATTCTGCCAAGATGAAGGCGAAGGTCACAACACAAAGTAAAAAATCTTGATGGGAAGCACAATACAAGTAACATTTATTAATCCAAAGGAGAGAATTTGCCACATCCCAAACACAGACGTGCAGGTGCACCAACACACCATGCATGTTTATAAAATGTGCACTGTAGTGTACAATAATTAATGGATCCTTTAAAATATTTGTTGTTTTAAAATCCAATGGCTATGACTTCTTCCAAGGTACACTGTTTTGAAACTAAAAGCCGCATCAGTAAGGCGATGGGTATTAATACTTTTTGACAAGCCCAAAACGCAACTTACTTCTACAGTCTGTGAATAAAATAACAATCCTGAACAGAATAATGAACAACTTAAAAACAGATTCTTTTGTTTACACAATTTACAGGTTTATGCTAGAACAACATAAATTCTAGTGAGACAGAATAAAACATATCGAATTAGAAATGGTTGTGGTATATGAATGCAATTTGAAGGGTTTATGCAAATACCTTTAAAAAATACTTTTCATGCCCAATAACCAACACTCTCCCCAAACCGATACCAAAAGCTGGAATTTATATGCTTGAGACGACCACATAATTGCTGTATAAAGAAACAGGGATGAACCCATCAAATGAGATAGTTTAGCTATGTATCCAAGTCCAAAGCCTAGGGCTCTCGGGTTGAAGTGAATATTTAACTCAGTCCATCTGGTTCAAAGAAAGCATTTAATGAAGAGAATATGAAGAGGACAAGCCAGCACCTGGAGAAATCCCAAGTGATATCTGCCACACTGCCTGTGTCCTCCTATCTTCTGATGGGGAAGAAGGAATGACACAGATGCAGTTTCATCGTCAGCTGCCGAGCCGCGGCCAAACCTGCCGGCAAGGTGTCAAGACAGAATCATAATATCATAATCACGTCCACCAACGAGTGGCACAGGGGGATGGGAGATACAAGCACATCATCAATCAAT